CCCCCCCACCCCCTCCACACATACACACAGGATTATGCACACTACATTTCAGGAATTTTAGATTCCCTAACAGGGGAATAATTGAGATTACAAATACCAAAGAAAGCACTATGCACAGTAAGTAAAAATATGTGGGACACGATCAGATACATAGACTATGGAATTTTATCTTTCTCGTTTATTTCTGGCTACACTCCAGAGTTTGAATTTCAACTGTGCAGGAGATATTCTTCTGCCCTCTTGTCTTTATGTCTCTCTTTTTATTAGGTAGAGTGGCAGCAGATTAAGGCTGGTTTTGTTCCTGGTGCCAGATGATGTTCAGGAGAGGATAGCACACAGTAAGGAGTGTGTTTAATCTTCTTTCCTTTTTAAAATAATTGAAATATAATTGACATAAAGCATTGTGTGGGTTCACAGTGTACAGTGTGTTGATTTGATGCATTTATGTATTATAATATGGTAACCGCCATAGCTTTAGCTATCACTCCTACCACATCACATAATTATCAATTTATTGTTGGGGGTGAGAACATTTAAGATACAGTCTTTTGGCAATTTTGAAGTATATAATATGGTATTGTTAGCTAAAATAATTATTTAACTTCTTTCTGAAAAAGAGTAAGGGAAGATGAAAGTGCTTTTTGATTTTACTAGGAATCTAGACAAAGGGAGAAGAGGAGAAGAATTCACTAATGAGAAGTCAATAATTGTCTCTGATGTGCACAAAGAATTGTGCAAACACTGCAGCAGAAAGAATGGCTATGCCTAATGACACCCAGTTCCATCCTTCTTCGTTCCTCCTCCTGGGTATCCCAGGGCTAGAAGATGTGCACGTCTGGATTGGATTTCCCTTTTTCTTTGTGTATCTTGTTGTACTCTTGGGGAACGCTGCTGTCCTGTTTGTAATCCAGACTGAGCATAGTCTCCATGAGCCCATGTACTACTTCCTGGCCATGTTGGACTCCATCGACCTGGGCTTGTCCACAGCCACCATCCCCAAAATGCTGGGCATCTTCTGGTTCAGCCTCAGGGATATATCTTTTGAAAGCTGCCTTTCCCAGATGTTCTTCATCCACTTCTTCACTGCCATGGAGAGCATTGTGTTGGTGGCCATGGCCTTTGACCGCTATGTTGCCATTTGTAAACCCCTTCGGTACACCATGATCCTCACCAGCAAAATCATCAGCCTCATTGCAGGCATGGCTATTCTGAGGAGCCTGTGCATGGTGGCTCCTCTGGTATTTCTCCTCCTGAGGCTGCCCTTCTGTGGGCACTACATCATCCCTCATACCTACTGTGAACACATGGGCATTGCTCGCCTGGCCTGTTCCAGCATCAAAGTCAACATAATATTTGGTCTTGGGGATATGTCTATTTTATTATTGGATGTGCTCCTTATAATTCTCTCCTATGTCAGGATCCTCTATGCTGTCTTCTGCCTGCCTTCCTGGGAGGCCCGGTTCAAAGCTCTCAACACCTGTGGCTCTCACATTGGTGTTATCTTAGCCTTTTTCACACCAGCATTTTTCTCTTTCTTGACACACCGTTTTGGCCACAATATCCCCCAATATATCCACATCCTCTTAGCCAACCTATATGTGGTTGTTCCGCCAGCTCTCAATCCTGTAATCTATGGGGTCAGGACCAAGCAGATTAAGGAGCAGGTTTTGAGGATCTTTTTAAAAGACAGTTAACCATTGGTAGTCTTAGAATTACAGTTCATATTTGCTCCCTTTGCTTATTAAAAGGGGGTTATTGTCTAAAAAGAAGAGACGTAGCAAAGGTGAATATGAACAGTAATAACATTTCTTTCTCTATAATCTTTTGAGTTTAAAGATAATAAACTTATTGGTGATAATCTTACAATTTGTAATTATTACATCTCTTACACAGTGCTTATATTTATGCTATTTGATAATCAAGGTAGTTCTATAAAGTAGTTGCCATATTCACAAATTTTCAAATGAAAGTTTGATGCTTAGGATCGCTAAAAGATTCATCTGAAAATTCAACTATTTGTGAGAAGTAGATTATTAAGTCAGGTAGTTTTAGAATCATCAGAAGAAATATGAAGTCAACAGAGTGGAATTTGTTCAGGGATTTTAGATAATTTTGGTGACAGAATTCTTGAAATAATAACAATGACATTATTTAACTCATTAGGATATACTGTTCTAAATAATCTACTTACATTAACACACCTATTTCTTGTGTGAATTCTATGATGTGGCTATTGTTACTATTTGCATTTTCATATAAGTAAACTATGGATTAAAAAACTCTCCATAAAAAAATTATGATTGAGATTTTGGCTCCAGATATCTAGAGAAATAGTAGCCATGCATTTAGAAATGAAATAAAGAGAGGGGCGCCTGGGTGGCGCAGTTGGTTAAGCGTCCGACTTCAGCCAGGTTACGATCTCACCGTCTGTGAGTTCGAGCCCCGCATCAGGCTCTGGGCTGATGGCTCAGAGCCTGGAGCCTGTCTCCGATTCTGTGTCTCCCTCTCTCTCTGCCCCTCCCCCGTTCATGCTCTGTCTCTCTCTGTCCCAAAATAAATAAATAGACGTTGAAAAAAAATTAAAAAAAAAAAAAAAAGAAATGAAATAAAGAGAGCAGGGATAATGGTGCATAACAATGAAAGATATATTTATTAAATGAATATTCATTAACTTCTACATGTGCTCAATTATATGTCACTGTTTGGTGATAGACAAATGGAAAGACAGAATCCTATGTCCTGAGAAAACAATGATGGGAGTTAGGCTATTAAGGCAAAAAACATTATGCTATAAGATTACATATTAACTTATATTTGGAAGGCTATTTTTAGAAACTTTGTAATAGTATTCAATAAATATCCCAAATGCTGGGCCAATATATTAAAGTTAGCCACACAAAACTAGAAATGTATTTGACCTTTTTTGAATTTCTAAAATAATGACATGGAAAATTATTGACCTAGTCAAAAAAAACCTAGTTTTTTTGTTTGTTTGTTTTGTTTTGATTTTTAAGAAGAGGTTATTTGAAACTACATTCACGAGAGTCTGCCAGAGTTGTGTTCTCTTTTACTTCATTTAAGACCTCTGATTCTTCCTCAGTTTATGAGCATGGAAATTCGACTGCATGACCAGAAAGTGTCATAGAGAAATAAAAAAAAATTAGATACAGCCTTCTAAATCTTGTAGTTGATTCTATGGGGCGCCTGGGTGGCTCAGTCGGTTGAGCGTCTGACTTCAGCCCAGGTCATGATCTCGCGGTCCATGAGTTCGAGCTCTGTGTCGGGCTCTGTGCTGACAGCTCAGAGCCTGGAGAGTGTTTCAGATTCTGTGTCTCCCTGTCTCTATGATCCTCCCCTGTTCATGCTCTGTCTCTTTCTGTCTCAAAAATAAATAAACGTTAAAAAAATATTTTAAATCTTGTAGTTAATTCTAGCAAAAATACTGTAAATAGGACAGCATAGATATTCAAATATAATATTGGTTAGCAATATTCATATACTACAGTTAAATGTTTTGTATTTAGAAAATCTAAGAGGCCAAGAGAGCACACCAGGGTAATTGAATAAGGAGACATCAGACAAACTAATTGTCAAGCTGATCAGTATATTCAAAGCCTCTGACTCTAAATAAGGTAACAAAGCTTTAGTCACCCAAATTCATAACAGAGGAGCTTATCTGTTGGTACTTTAACAAACAAAAATAATATCACATTCAGACATAAGTAAATGTAAAAATTAGTAACATTATTTACAGCAACTTGGACCTTTGGATGAAATAATCCCAGTAAGAAAAAAAAAAATGTTCCTGAAGATTTTTGAGGAAGAATATATCACTTGCAAATATGGGTTTTAGTAACACAAGATAAAAATTAAAAATATCTGCTTGGCCCATCTAAGTTAGACATTAATGGTGTTTGGTGATATTTCCAGCTTTCCCATCAACTGTGAGATCCTGACCTGAGCCAGAGTCAAGAGTCAGACGATTAACTGAGCCATCCAGCCGCCCCTATTAAGGTTTTATTTTAGTTTCAGTATAGCTACAGTGTTATATTAGTTTCAGGTGCACAATGTAGTGATACAACACTTCCATACATCACCCTGTGCTCATCACAAGTGTACTCTTTAATCCCCATCACATATTTTACAACTCACATCCAGCATAAAATGTCTAAATCAAGGGGGTATTTGATACCTCATTATTTTAAGGGATAAAGAATATGAAACTAGGGGAGCCTGGGTGGTTCAGTCCATTAAGTGTCCAACTTCAGCTCAGGTCATGATCTCACAGTTCATGAGTTTGAGCCCTGCTTTGGGCTCTGCACTGATGGTGCAGAGTCTGCTTGGGATTTTCTCTCTCTCTGCCCCTCTCCTGCTTGTGTGCTGTGCACACATTCTCTCTCTCTCTCTCTCTCTCTCTCTCTCTCTCTCTCAAAATAAATAGACATTAAAACGAATAAAACCTTAAAAAATAAAAAAAAATTGCTCTTTAAAAGACACTCTTTAGGGAAGGAGAAAATAAATTACAGAGTAGTAGAAAATATGTACAAAACGTATATGTCATGAAAGGCTTGTATCTAGAATACATAAAGAACTCTTAAAACTCAATAATAATAAAACAACCCAGTTTAAAAACTGGACAAATAATCTGAAGAGGCATTTCACCAAAGAAAATTATATGTATGGCAAATAAACCCATTAAAAGATGCTCAGCATCACTGGACTGCAGGGAAATGCACGATAAAACACTATGAGGCAGCATTAGAACCCATTTTGGTGGTTTAAAAAATGTTCAGAATGCCAGTTACTGGTGAGCACGTGGGCCATCCAACACTCTTATACATAGGGAGTATCAATGCTCTCTAGCCAACAGCCACCAGGAGTATATTTATACTTTTTAAAAAAGGAAGGTTTATTAGCTGTTACAACAAGAAATACCACATGCAGTGGTGCAATGTTAGGGGTCTCAGTAAGAGTGTTTAAGGAAAGATTTGATATTGGATTTGGACTTGATTAGGGGATATTTTTCTGAAGCAGATGCTTTCAGGGAAAGAACTAATTCTATTACTGGATATCAATAACTTTTATATAGAAAGTGGGAGAAGTTTTTGTCTCCACTCAGACATGCTTATAGAAGGGTTTATGTTTCACTCCATCAACACAAACACAAAGTGACCTTGACTGATGTTTATGCTTAGTGAAACTGTTTATATTAAGTGGACATCGTTACGGTCAAGATGTTATTATCAGGTCGGCTATCAGTTGACAGATATTAGAGCTGCTATTTTCTTTCTCAGAAGAAAGCCAGTATCTCATGATTCTATACTTATCCAGGCTAAACACAGTACATAATCTTTCTATGATGTCCTCAAATAATTTGTTTCTATTTTACTTTGCAGTTTTTATTGTACCACCTTCTAAGCCTCTTCTAAAGGAAATTGAGTTAGAAAGTCTAGAAAACTCATTAGTTCCCTGCTTAAAGTTGGCTCCATATATGTTAAAAAATTAGTTATTTGTGGGGCGCATGGGTGATTCAGTCAGTTAAACGTTTGACTCTTGATTTCAGGTCAGGTCATGATCTCATGGTTCATGGGTTCAAGCCCCACATTGGGCTCTGTGCTGACAGTGCAGAGCCTTTTTGGGATTGTCTCTCTCTCCTGCTCTCTCTGCCCCTCCCTCACTCATGCTCTGTCTCTCTCTATCTCAAAATAAATAAATAAACTTAAAAAAACCTTAGTTATTTGCATATTTATACATGGTTAGTATTAACTATGCAACCAGAATATAAGTTTCTTGGGGGAAAGATCTACATATACAAAACATGACTGACTACATAGTTAATTTTAAATGAGTGCTTGCTTAATGGCTAACCTGACTTCTAGATCAAGTAAATGATATTTGCTGGAAAAGAGTGACACAATCATTAGGGGGTAGAACAGCTGTGGGTAATGAGAGGGAGAAATTACAGACTGACTCTTGGGGGATTGATGGCGAAAGATTAGAAAGAGTGGGTTGGTAGTAAATGAGAAATGTTTTCAAGCTGGGAAGTTAAAGGGAGAAACTTGAATGTCCCAAGGGATTCCTGTGCCCTGTGCTTTTTTTCTGCCCATAAACCTGTGATGAGAACTTGTGAATTCATTATCTTTCATATTCTCATCCCATGTGGGCCCAGAAGAGCAGCTACTCCCCATCAGGAAGAGGATTTTCAATCTCAGTATAAACTTTTCTCCTTGAACTACAGTTGTGATGCTGAGACACACTTGGAACAATTATTGGCCAAGATTGTAGCTTCTTCCAATACTGGCTGTCCCTGAGGCTGGTGAGTTGGGTACAGGTTTGGCTGCTATATGTACTTAAACTTTTGGTTGGGAAGGTTTGAACTCAGGTCTATTAATTTAATCCCCTCACTAAATTGGCAATTCATATTTATATATGATACAAATCTTAATTTGGAGGACATAGTTTACATATTTCACCTAAAATTTCTAATTGGTAGAATTTCAGGTACTTTTGCATATTTTAGTATTTTATCATTTTTTTCATAACAAGCATACCCACTTTAATAATAAGGAAAATAGAAAACTAAGCAGTCAAATAACTTGTTTTGTTGAGGTATTATTGCATTTCTCTTCTATTTTCTCTTTCTCACTCTCTGTTCTGTCTTGCTTCATTTCCCTCTCCCTCTCCCCCTTGCTCT